TATATGGTAGTGAAATCTGCCTAGAACTTTTGTTGAGTAGGAGATAATTGTGGAGCTCGACTAAGGATCTGAGCTGCTTCAAAAGCGACTGGTTGGTCCGACACTTTGCAGAAATGAGAAGGATCACCATCAAGGAGCTCTTGCAGGGTCATAATTGCAAAGCTAATATGCTCTTGGGAAGGGAGATCGATGTCGAGATTCACTTCTTCAGCAACAGCCTTCCCTTTGCTATATGTGGCAGATCCAAATTTAGCCGAAGGATCCATCAACATGTCCAGCGGGTCAAGAAGTTCATTCTCCAAATCATCATCAATCATGGACACATTAACAGCAACACTCTACAAAATATGAAGACAAAAGATCAAAAATAGCAACTAGCAGATATGGTGACAGATTTCAAGATCTAAGCAGATTTCAGAATAGTGAAACAACCTCAATGTCATCAACATGAACATGCCTAGCAGGAGTGGCTACGAGTGTAGGGGTATTCTCTTTGTCTGGGCTTAGATCGATGAGTTTGTTTGGTCTAACTGTTTTAAAACTTTTGCTTGCTATGCGTGAAGAGAATCTAGAACCCCTAACCTTTGTGGCGGGTGAAGAACCATCGCCAAATTTGGTACGAGAGGGGCCAGAATTGCTTTCACTACTCTCAGCAGATATATCTTCAACAGGATCTGTGGTGGCAGCAGGTTCGAAGGGAACATCTTCTGTTTTATCAGGCTGAGTCTCGATTTTCGTGGTAGAAGTGGACCTTGAGGGAGAGGCAGACTTGATGAGTTTCTTGGCTGCAAATGGTTTCACTGCTAACCTCTTGATCCCTAAGAAAAAAAAATGTGTGTTAGCAGAGAACATGTCACAAAGTTGCAAGCCAAAGTGGATTTACCTTCGGTTCTTCGCTGCATGGAGGGAGTATTCTCTTCCGTGGAATCTGCAGGAGTAGCAAGTTTCCTTTTGACTTGAGTTTTAGGAGCTCTCCTTGGCAGATCTGGCTTGCTGATCTGGGCAGCCATGGCAGATTCCAGGTCCTCACTTTCCTTTGCAACTTGCTTTTCTTCAAATCTTTTGGTGAGTGGTGGAGGAGCCAGAGCAGAAACATTGTCCAGAACACCGAGGAACCGAGGATGGAAGTAATCTTGCCACCAACTTCTGTAAGAGGGAGTACAACTCAGTCGAAATGGAGGATCTGGCAAGATCATTGTCTGCGAAGTGTTTGTGATTTCAGCATGCTTGGCAATCAAAATGTTTGAATCTCCAATCATAAACCGAAGAGGATAGTTGTGGTTGAAGGAGAACAGTGGCGGGAATGGTATGTCTTGGCAGTACCCAAGCTGCCGATAGAACTGGTTCAGTGCATAGAGCTCCATGCCACATCTGGAGTTAAGAGTGTTCAAACTACAGCCAACAAACAAATCCCGAAAGGTCACACAAACAGACCAAAATGCTCTAAAATCTGGGAATTTGACATCGGCCCTATGCCATACCAAAACAACAAAGCTGAACCCAAGACCGGCTTATCCATGGTGAATCTGCATTTGGTGAGTTGTATAAATTCAAACAAACCTGCATCTTTCCAAATTTGGCCAAAAGCAGGTTCCAGACGGTTTATCCAGTCAACCCATTCTGATTTCTGCCAAGCTGGCCAAGCTCCAAAAGATCCAACCCATTTACTCCAGTTAGGTTTCACTTGAAAAGGCAGAAGGTTCGGTAGGCATGGATTGTCCCTCTTGATCGCCGGCCATAGAAGCAAGTTTGACAGGGGAAGGTGTTTCGGTGGAATCACCGGACATGAGCAAGACAAATCTGCACACAAAAAAAAATAATAAAAAAAAAAAAAGAGAGGAAATCAGCCAACAGACACAAACAAGGAGGATTTTCGGTAGTGGGCCACCGGACATGAGCAAGGCAGATTTTTTGCAAATAAAGAGCAAAAGAAATCAGTCGGCAATTACCTGTGGTGGAAGAAAGATTGCCGGGGGGTCCACTGAATATGGGAGCAGATCTGGACAAGCAAAGGAAGAGAGAGCAGCTGGCAGTAAATCTTGAAAGCTAAAGGAAATGGGTTGTTGATTTTTGGTTAGAGTAGATATGGGAAAAGTAACAAAAAAAAAAAGTGAAAGAGAGGAGCCGGCAGTGACTAGAAGTTACTTTGAGGGTTAAAGGAGATGTAAAAATGGAGCAGATCTGGGTGAAGAAAAGCAAAAGGGAAGAAAGCCAGCAATGACCGAAGGAATAAGAAGATAAAAAGGAGGTTTTGACTTTTAATTTTCAAAAAGCCCTCATTTTTAGGGGTTTTTGGAAGTTTAAAAGTTAAAATAAATGTAAAAATGGAGGAAGCTGGTCGATGATTTTTTTTTTTTAAAAAAAAAGGAACTAGCCGGCGGTAAAGCAAGGCAAAGAAGAAGAGGAAAAGCCGGCAGTGAGGCAGTGATGCAGTGATGAGGTACCCAGGAAGATAAAAGGTAAAAGTAAAATTGGCTTTTCCATTCTATTTGCGAATAATAAAAAAGAGGACAGCCGGCAATGACCCAAAAAGGAAAAGTAAGTTTGACTTTTCTTTACCTTTTTTGATTTGAAAGTTAAATGAATTTTGAAAAAGGAGTGGCTAGGGTTGATCTAGAAAATTGGTGTAGGAGATATTTTAGGAATTGCTTTTAAAGAGAATATGATATGTAGCATAAGTAATTATGGTGTGGGAGACAATTTATTTAATTAAAACACTTAGATTTATTTTTATAAAATCAAGTGTTGGGGGCATTGTTTACATTATAAATTATAAAATTTTAAATTAATGTCACGTGTAAAATATTTTTTATTGGTTGGAAGAGTTTGAGCCATATCAGATGTGGATTTTGGGCCCCATGACAGATCAACACTTGTGTTGGCAAAATAAGAGAGGTAAAGATAATTTTTTATGGAGTAATTATCTTCTTGAGACAGAAAGGGATAATGGTAGCTGGAAAATAGGAGAAGATTGCAGTTTAAAAGGGGGTTTTATCTAATAAGAGTACAGGTGGTGAAATCTGCAAGGAGATTAGACCAGGTAAAAAGGTAAGGTGTTCCACTATTTCAAGAAACCACCCATGATTGAGTAACTGCAAAAAGTGGAAGTTACTGCCGGCACAAGAAGAACAAAAAGGAAAATTTTGGAAGGAAGAAGACACAATCAGCCCTACTCAAACAACTGCAAATTTTCATACTTTTATTTTCTCTACAATTTGCTTCTAGATTTCGAATTTCAGCACATATTCCATTAGAATTAGGTTGTTTTTCCATCATTCCAGTAGGTAAATTAATTCATGTATTTAATTCAACAATTTCCTTTCATGCAATGAACTTCAATTTTTCAAGTTTATACAAGGTATTATTCTCTTTCCATTTACAATTGATTTAATGTTTATGATAAGTAGCATTTTATTCAATGATTACTTATGTGGTGTTCATACCTCTTTTCAACCTCAAATATGGTAGTTTAATTACTGTTCACGTTAATTTTAATGTTAATTAGGATGAAATCTTTAATTCTGCAGTATTTTAATTTTCAAATCTGTCAGTACATAGCATTTTAATTTAATAATGAACATGTTTAGTTTAATTTAGGTACAGCTTTTTCTCGCAAATTTACTTTAAATTGCAGGTTATTTAGTTCAATTAGGATTTGTTAATTTTAAGTCACAGTAGTGTTTAAGTCCTTGGAGTTGTCCAAGGCAGATTTCGTAACCTATTCTGCAAGAAGGCATCCCTCCCTCTTCCAAATCGTCTGAAGGCGCAAATTCCATTTTAATCCAACGTTCTTCCCGCCATCGGCAAAGAGGTCGACCATGAGGAAGGAGAGAGTCGTTGGGAAAGTCCTTTCTTACTTTTAGCAAAGTAAGTGGCACGTCCGCATCTAGATTTCACACGTGTGAGGTCACTAGAGGATTTTTGAGGAAACAATAAGGAATATATAAAAATAAAATTTTATTAATTAATTATTACACTTTTATTTTATTAAAAAAATTATAGGTCAACTAAGGTTAAACAGAAGAAAAGAAGTAAATAAGATTCAACCATTGTTACTACAAAAAAAATTAAGGCTGTGTTTGGGATTATTGCAAAAAAATATAACTAAAGCTTTTAAAATATTTTATGATGAGAAAAATGATGTTATTATTTAATATTGCTTTGAAAATAGTCTTATGCATTAATATAACCACTAAATTATACAAAATATCAATTAAAATTTATTTAATCATAATAAATTGACATGTTTATGAGGTGTTAACAAGTGCAATGACAAAACAACCGTAAATGCAATTGAAGATTGAGAAGACTAGTGATATGCAGGATTGAATGGATATTTATTGAGTAGAAGACATGATTTAGAACTTTATTAATATTACAAGCATTTAGTGAATTTACTTTTTTGGATATGCTTGATATATTGTTAAAGGAATTGTTATAGGACAAAGTTTGTTGAATGTATTATTAAGATTGAAATGCGTTGTAAGGATTAGAATACCCTTTTTATTTAGGGTAATAATATCATCACTTTTTTTTTTTTTTTTAAAAAAAAAAACCATGAAAAATATTAAAACATTATTAATAAACTAAAAAAAGATAAACTATAAAAAAAATATTATATAATTAAAAAGAATAAAGAACCTGAAAAATCAAAGCGTCTTGGTGCTCAAGACGTGTATCATTGTCATCTATTAAGTGGGTTTCAAAAAAAAGATCCACTTACATATGACTATGATGAACGTATTGAGTGTCAAAACATCTTGAATTTCATATTTCTAAAAAGATTATGGTATTTTTGGCGGGGGAGAGTTTGTTTGGTGCCACATCAGCACGCCATGTGAGAGTGCTATGGAACCGAACAAGAATTTTAACGAAGAACTAACGGAGTGATGACGTCCATCAACTAAGCTTGGCCTTTTCTCCAGAGTTGGAAGATTATTATGAATTGTTTTAGTGGAGGGATGATAATGGCTCTTTTTGTATAATTTAATGATTTTTAGTCAAATTAAGCCTTTTTTTATTGTAAAATGATATTTTCAACCCTAGACTAGCGTTAATATTAGCCAGGCTGCTAAGCCAAAATATATATATATATATATATACATATATATGTATATATATATTAACCTGCAAAACAGTTTTCTATACTAGTAATTGAATGAGAAAAAGTAAATAGCATAACTTGCAGAAAATTATTACAAAATGGAAACTATTGCAATCCAAGTCTTCCCAAAAGGATATTGTTCAAGATTCAGCCTGGACCATAAAGTACTCAAGATTTAATTACACTGTAAACACTAAAACCAGACTTCCAACAAGAAGTCTACAAGTCTCTCTCTGAGAAAATTGATGGGGTCACAAACTCCAATCTAGAATTCTGAATGCTTGAACGGGACACGAATAAACAACTGGCCATGCAGGGTAACCACAGCAGATATCTGATGCGGATCAATTCTGGAAGGTAGGCTGACAACCTGAAGAAATGAGCTTTGATCGTAAGCTAAACTGTGCTATCCCAATGAATAAGAATTCCAGTATAGTTATTGTTTTCTTTTCCCTCCCATGGTTTGGTTTTTCCTCTGACCAATTGTTATCCTCAGGGTAAAAAGATGGAATTCTTCCCCACCATAATTCAGTTCTGGGAGTGATTATCCACTTGACATTCAAAGTCATCTGACTCGAATGCAATACAGAAAAGATTATTCAGACAACTAAGTTTGGCTAGTTGTTAACTAACCTTTTTAAATGGTGTGACACCCCACGGATTGTCCAGTTGCTTTGGTTGACCAGATATAACCAACTGTCCTGCTGGATCTGACTGAACATGCACCTAGTGATTAAAAGAAGACTTGTAAATTATCAACGACAATAAAATGAAAGCAGCCCTTTAAAAAAAATGAAATGTGGAAACAATAATGAGTTTTAACAACTTTTTGGTAGACTACGTTAGAAACTTTACACAAATAATTGATGTGGACACTTATTTGGTTGGCCAAAAAAAAAAAAAAAAATGATGTGGACACCAACCAATTCAGCTAGTTATAATGCAGGCAGCCTCTACAATCAGAAAATAAGACTGGGTTAGTCCAAAATAGCAACCTCATTGTGCAGCCAAAATGAGACCTCAACCAACTTTAACCAGCCTAAACTAGTCAGCCTAGAATCCAATCTTGCATGGTTGCACTTCTTGCCTGTCTTATGTTCCATTCCTTACCCATCTTCTACAGTCCCCTATCTTCCCAACATCCATGAAGGGCACTCACTACTCAGTTTGAGTCAACTAATTCATGCAGAGCAACAGCTAACAGATTATTTAGCATGAATTTATCTTAGGCAAACAATCACTGACCTCCTCTCCATAGGAATGAAACCCCCATATACTAAATGTTTATCTCTCAATGGTCCATGTAATTTCAAAATATAACATAAGAACCTTTCGTGGTCCAATAAAACAGGAAATAAGACAAGAGAGGGCTCCGTAGATATTTACACCAACCTCGTCACGCAGAAGCCCAGGAATCAAACCATATACCTCAAAGCAGTCATTCTGTAAGCAGTCATATTTCCACTAAGAAAAATTGAGTGGCAATATAGTGAAATGAAATACAGTAAGCCTAGAAGCAAACTTAACTAGTTTTTGGACATTAAACTTCACCCACTCAGCTGGTGGTCCAATATCAATAACCATCGTATCCAACCTACAAAAGAACACCAAATTTTATCATTTCAAAGGTCAAGATACTATTCTTATACATTACACAAGCTGGAATATATCAAGGAATATTAGATGGTATGGTAATTGTAACTGTGGTTTTGTTGATTTGAATTGACAAGATTGGACAGCATGTTCAAGAGTAGATGGCCTTTTACGCTTTGGTAGACCTGGGTCAATGAATCACATCTTAGAAAAAGAGAAAATGTCATAGCTGCAATTGGGTGAAGAATGTTGGAACAAGCTCTTAGTCATAAATAGCAAGAATTTTTTAATACTTGTCACCTTTAAATGAGGGACTTGGGCTCTTATCCTGAATGAGAAACAAGTCAAATAATTAGGAAAAAGAAAGGAAGAAGAAAGCAAATAAAAGGGAAAAGGAATAGCTGATAAAAAAAAAAAAAAAGGGAAAAGGAATAATGCAACCAAGGAAAGAATGGATGAATACAGCTTCAAAATTCTCCACGGACCTTAATGATCGGATGACAAACCTCACCATTACCAAGAAGACGCTGAGAATGCCAGCCTTGCATAGCACGAGCTGCAGCATCCCTCCTTGCCCTACCACTACCAGATCCAATAACTTGATTACTTCCAGCCTGCACATAAATTCATAAGAATCTTTAAATATTACATACATGATTGTGATAAACATTTATATGTATAATTCTTAAAGTGTTTAAATGATATTACAAAGCAAATGACAGTCCAGGATGGCCAGCATTTGAATGAAAAACATTTGCATAATTATTTCCAAACCAGAAGCATTTAATTTCATCATCTTTCAGAAAACCAGACTCTTTTCACCATATCATTGCACCAAGCAATCCACCCATCCAAAATCAATATACTATTATAATCACCATTGGCGCAATTAACAGCCCATAAAAACACTCACAATTCACTATTTCATTTTTCTCTCCTATATATCTTGTGAGCATCAATCCTATTAAACTAAAAGGGTGAACAAGTAACCAACCAGTCAGCAATGAACGGGGAGTTTCTCTACATAGATTAATTTGAACAAGGAAACAAAAATCAATGTCAGAAAGAAATGAGGAAATGAAGAGCCATTACATGTGTGTGTGTGTGTGTGTGCATTCTTACAAGGGATTCAGCTGGTATTTTCAACAGCAGACCATGTATTCAAAAACACAGCTTTTCAGTCTCCCAAATTAGATCAGTGATTCTTAAAGGCACTATCATACCTGGATACCTAACTGAATTAAGTCCCAAGCCACAACCATTAACCAAGCCAGTAGCATCCAAAACAAACTATGCAGAAGGAAACTGACTTTCAATTTCACCCCATCTATAATAGGATTTCACTAAAACCCTTCCAACTTTATGAGATACACATTGTTATTCAGAGCAATATCAGTCTGAAGTTCTCCTGGGAATGATAAAGCTCCTCTTCTATACATCTTTAAAAATCTCAATTCCCAATGCATTTTTAGCATGATTGATGGAGAACATGTTTAGAAACTTGCACGCACTCTCACACACACCCTAGCCAACTATCAAGCATACTTTCATCCAGTTCTTTCCTTTAAGATACCACCATAACCTTTTCCCTAAATCACTCAGGACAACTCCAATTACCAATGAATTATAGCCCCTCTTCTAATATGCATTAATCAATCAAACAGTGCAAAAGCTAATTTTCTGCCCAGAAAAAAAGTTGGATTTATATGTTAATTAATTTAACAGTCATCAGGTATTTTGAAACCAAAACCAAAAAATAAATAGTGATAGTAAACCCAGCATTGATGCTGATGACAAGACAAAATTCCTATGCCACAAGCATAAGCTGCATCAGAAAATGACTGAAAATCACCTGACTTCCAGCCCCATTGGATTCTGGAAAGGAAGCAACAGGACATGTGAGCTCACCATCATGTATCTTATGCTTTTCATAGTCAAGCAGGGCCTGCAGAGAAAGAGCAGGTGGCATAATTATGCTTGAATATTTCTACATGTTTTATTGAAACTTCATATTTAGCAATTTTAGAGCACAACCTTTTCATAAAAGTTTCGGAATGTCCATGACACAGTAGTGCAGGTCCTGTACAGGGCAAAGAAGAATGAAATTATAAACTATTTGTGTTAAAATAAGAAAAAAAAAAAAAAAAGAGGAAAATTAACCAAGGCTCTGAGAATGGGCTAGGTAAACCCTCACTGTGGCAGCAACAGAATCTATACATTAAAGCGCAGAATTGAGCTTTGCACTGTTGTAAATCCAAAAACCAAATAGATTTCCCATTTGAAAGGCAGCGTCCAAACATTGAGTTTACCATTGTAGCAAAGATTCAATTTTAATATTGTCAAGCATAAGAATAACAACATGGATCTTATAGTCAAACCCATGACAGAGATCAAAGTCATGTCCACATATTCATATCAGAGATAGATGCAGTCCATTCCATGGACTGCAATTTAGTGGTCAAAATTGTTGATCCAACGAGAATATAGGCATTATTTGAAAGTGGAGCTTATCCTTACTTTGGGGGATTGAACGATTCTCCCACTTGCCTCCACAGCTTACACGAAGTCACCTACAAATGAATATGAATAAAAAACAAGCGAGAAGCAAAATCACTGTTTTAGAAAAATGGGGAGGGAGAGAGATTTGATACACAAAAAATATGTAAAATGGATAGTTCGAGCCCAACCTGCTCGTAGCCACCCAATTCAATAACAGCTCTCCATAACCTTGTGGGAAATTGAAAAAGACAGTATTAAAGTAACTTTGAAAAAAAAAAAAAAAACCATTTTCATTCTAATAAAAACTCCAATGCACTTACTTGAGCAAATTTATATCCTCCTTGTAGAACTTCGGGTGCTTAAATTCGAGACTCTTCTCCTTATAAAACGCTTCAACTTTCTTAGTAAAAGCTGCTTGCTCTTCTTCTGTACCCGCTCCTGAGTTATCAAAGCATAGCTTGGGGCTTCTGCCAGTGCCACCTAATTCTGGCAGTGACACTTGCTTCTTAACTTCACTTTCTGGAGATGAATCTTTCAATTCATCCCCATCGTCATCTTCAGCTTTCGTGTCTTGCGTCAAATGGGTAAAGATGGGGCTTACACAAAGTACATTCGCCTGCCCATCATTTTCGTCTTCCATCTTGTCAGCATTTTCAGTCAAAGATCTTTTGCTATCATCTTTGGGTCCAACGCCATCATCCCCTTCAGACTTCCCTTCTATATTTTCACCAGAAATATCATAGACATGAGGACGGGTGTTAACGTCACCTGGGGTTTGGTTGGCAGTGGCTGGTTCTGGTCCTGGTTCCATAGAACCTAACTTGTCTTCAAGTGGCTGGTTCTCAATTTTCTCAATTTCAAAGTGGGTCGAGTGTTCAACCTCACCTGGGTATTTTCTTTGAGCACCTGTTGTATGTGAATCGCTGAGAGCTTGAACCTGCGCCCCCTGTTCCTCCATTTCTGGCCTGGAATCATCCATCTCACCCTTGTCACCCATCTCTTTCCCTATTCCCTATATCCCAAATGGATAAACAGAAGCTCTTAAGAACTAAACTCTCGGGAAATGCCAGTGAATGCATATACCCAACAAATTAATCCAACCTACAAAATTCTACGAGACAAGAACGCAGCCTTTTCCCCCCTTTTCGTTTCAGCACACAAGAATAACTAAAAGCATTCCCAAACTCACCTGGCGCTGTTCCTGCTTAATGTTTACCTCTGTCTTTTCGTTCATCCCCTGCAAGAAGGAAACGAGAAACGTCAATGGCGAGAACTGGGAGACCTGCATCATTAAGAAACCCCAAAAGATACAAAGAAAGGAACTTACTTTCTGGGCTTTTCTGCAAATATTCGAAGACCCAAGTGCTTCCTCTGCGCCTACTCTCGGCTTTACTGGTTTTTCAGAAGGTTTAATACCCAATTTGGTCCCTAAACTTTCATTTCAAAACTTAATTCATCCTTTAACTTTAGAAAGAACCCAAACCATCCTTAAACTTTGTTTTTTAAGAACTCAAATGGTCCTTCCGTTGACGGAAGTGCTCAGCTGGCATGTTAACTTGCCACGAATTAATCCTTTTATTTCAATAAAACTACGTGGAAAAAAGAATGATGATTTGGTAATTTTAATATTAACCCTCCCTTTATCTTCAACCCCTATCTCTCTCTGCCATTTTTGTTCCTTTCCCTGTTCTCCAGCACCAACATCAACACCAATACCAGCGGCATCATTCTTTCCCTTTCTCATTTTTCTCTCTACTCTCCACCCTCCTCCTTCCTCCTTCCTCCTTCCTCATTTCCCTTTTCTTTCCTTTTTTTTTTCTTTTCTTTCTTATAACCTGTTATTAGAGAAATTTCAGACAAGGCATTTCCTGGACCTTCACCATCGACTTAGCTGTTGTCCAATGATTCTGCGGCTTCTTTTTTTTTTTTACCAATGATTCTACAACTGAATACAAACAGATGGGTTTTTAGTTGAAGCACAAAAGATAAGTATGAAAAATCGATATTAGATTCGATAAATTTCTTTCTGTTTCTTTTTTTCTCTTGAAATCCACTTAAAATAATCAAATAAAACTATTTCTTTGAGCTTTAATTTCTAGTTTGAGTAATGACAGACTTATGAAACCAAATTCATATCTTCTTTTAGCAATGATTTAGCAATTAAATGAGTGCTTTATCATCAATTTATTATTATTTTTTTCATTTCTAAAGTTGAGTAGCAAG